AAGCCCATGACATTCACCGTGGGTCAGCAAGTGTTGGTGCATGATGCGATAGCGGCTGCAGACAGAGGGAGGAAGTTTGATCCTCGTTGGAAAGGTATTTATGTTCTGACTGAGAGAATCTCCCCTGCAGTATGGAGGGCCAGGCCTGTCAAGGAGGTTCCTACTCAGGGAAGACGACCCCGGCATGTGTTTCATGAGGATCAGATGCAGCCATATCGGTTGTAGTACAGGACGCTGGGCAGGAACAGCCAGACGTGATGTAACAGATTGGCAGCATCATTCGGAGTGTGCACAGTGGAGTGGCGAGTTTGGGCCCATGCTCGGGTCACCAATAATGAGCCCATGATGGCTCAATAATGCGCCAGTCAGTTGCGTCAAGCTGGTGCCCCGTGAGGCCCAGAGTGCACCGGCATGGGACTCCCGTATGGGGGAGCCGTGGCCAGGCGGGAAGGAATCGTATGCGCATCCAAGCTACCAGGACAGTGTCGGCAGCCCAGGCTATGGCAACAGGGCTGCGATTCAGCGGCAAGCCGAGCGATACGCTCTCGTAACCTGCACAACTAAGCAACGCAGTCAGGGAAGCACATCCGAAGCCACATGAGCCGTTGGGGCTCCGCGCCACCCCCATGGACAACGGGTCCCCGCAACCCCACGCAGCACCAGCCCGCCTTCAGGCGACCCACGCAGTTCACTCAGGGACAGACAGGGAAGGGCCCTGCGGTGAGAAATCGGAGCAATGCCCATCGCTGTGTCGGGCGGCCCCGTGGGCATCCATGGGCCGGCGATGGAGGGGTGCAGCCGTGCGGTGGCTGCGCGTCCCCGTAAGGGGATAGCCCCCTTCTGCCGGGGGAAAACCGCCGCCTCCCTGAGGCCTTTCAGTCTGCGCGTAAAGTTTCCAGGGCGGGCGCCTTTTGGTCCAGGGCCCCTAACCCGAATACCCCAGATCCGAGTGGCTGGGACTCGACGGTCCGGGTGGGCGAGGACTGTGCGTAAGGCCGCCTGCGGCAATCTGAGCCGGTGGGATTACGGAGGAGGGGTCTCCCGCCGATCTGACGAGAGAAGGTCTGCGGCGGCATCCCTGTGTGCAAAACGCACCGGCCCGGAGGCCTGGGCGGGGCAGCGAGGGGTGTTGTGGGATGGCTGGCTCCGTGGCTCCGCGGGTGGGCCCCGGAGATGACTCAGCGGGGGATGGGCGTGGGCGCGATGTGATGAGGGAATCGCGGATATCGCTGGCAGGATCGGGCCGAATCGGGCGCCATCAATTTGACCTGTATGTTACTTCGTCGTGAGCAGCACGGAAACGGGCTGGCCAGCATGCAAGATTTCCCGGCTGTCATTATAGGGAATGAGTGGTCATTAAAGGGAAGGCAAGATACCAATAGATTCCAAATTCAATTAGCAATCGAATGGTGGTTTTTATTGTTAATTTGATGAAGAATTGCGTTTTCTCAGGGGTTTTTTCGATGTACGGAGGAAGGCCACAGGGAACCAGGCTGTTCGGAGGCCTGACAAGTGACTGATTGGACTGATGGTCAGTCAGAGGGCGGTAGGCGGGATGTTGAGGCGAGCGCGCATGGATTCCATGCGGATCTCACGCTGTGCACTCGAGAAGGCCCTCCGTGTCGTCTGTGAGCAGCGCAAGGATGGCCGGTTCTCAGGGCAGCTCCCGCATCGACAAAGTCTTGGAGTAGCGCCATGCCCAGTCACTCCCGGGGCTAAACGAAGTGCGGGATTTCTGCCACCAGCTGGAGCAGTTCCAGGTGGCACGGCTGGCGGCGCCAAGCGGGCAGGCGTCTGGTTCCAGTGGAGCGCCGCAAGAAGACAAGAAATGGAGGCGAGCGCGAGACCTGCATGGCGCTCTCATGTCGGTGTGGGAGGAGTCGCTGGCGGACGACCAGAAGATCTTCGATGCCGTCATACATGCCGGGATGGGTTTCCAGACCTCCCTGGACATGCAGCCGTTGGCGCCGGCTGTCAGAACGGAAATTGTAGCGCAGTTTGAGACCATGTGTTACATGGGTCTCAAGCCAGCATGGGATGCGGCTCAGAGGGACAATGAGTTGTCGCAGCTGCGGCTGCTTGACAACAAGCCGGTGGTATGGCGGGCTGCGGAGGCGATTGAGGACGATATTCGTGCGGCCAGGTTGAAGGTCATCGATGACTATTTTCACCAGCGGTTGAAGGTGCAGTCTTTGGAGGAGGCGTTCCTGGAGGACGGACGGGTGAGGGCGCTGGAAGCGGACAGGGAATTTCTGATGCGGTTGCTGCCGGCCCCTCCCAGGAAGGACATGCGCTCACCAGCTCTGCGAAGGGCGATTGGGGAGTGGCATGCGCGTGATATGGAGATCAAGGAGAAGTGGAGGGTTGATGCCGTCCGGGCGGAAGTCCAGGGGTGGCTTCAGGGACACAAGCCCAGGCCTGACTTCGACCGTGAGGATACGCCACCGGCAGAGAGACATGGGTGACTGGGGCTGCGCATGGCGCTGGGTGCGGCCGCCGGACAAAACATTTGTTGATGTGACATGTAAGTATCGATTAGACCGTATATGGGATCAAGGGGATAGTCTGAGGCTGCTTGAACGGGAGGCTGTGTGATGGTAATGAGCTGAAGTTGACTTGGTAGGGAAGGATGGGATCAGAGGAGTCTGACGAGATGATCAGCAAGGCGGTGCGTTGGTCGTGTGGTCGAGGGTATCCAGCTGTGTGGTTGTGGGAAGGATCTGGATCCTTAGGTGGACCTTTTTGTGGACCTTTTGTTTTGTCGTATGAACCTGACTGCGGTAATGTATAAAGTGGCGGGGGTGCGCATTGTAGCCGCCCCCGGTCTGTAAGAGCGTTCTTGCTTACAACCGGAGCACCTGAACGGGCCTCCTCACGAAGTGAGGTTGGGACCTGACGGTCGGGCGGGTGGTTCCCTGCCAAGGGATAAGCCCAGCGTCCAGTGTGTGGCGATTTCGATCGCATTTCGACGCGGTGAATCGATATACGGTGTTTTCCGCATGTCGAATTCTGCTGTGCCAACCCCGAAGGGTCGTGCCATGCCCGGGCACAGATCTTTACATAATCTTATCAAATGACCATATGAACGATCTGAGCAGCTGGCTGCGAGATGGAGACACGTGACCGTGTTTTGTGATGCCGTTGGCGAGGAATTTTGTGTTCGAACTTGGAGCCGACACACGAATATATTGGGCAAAGGTCACATGCAAATATCGACCAAACGCTCAGTTAAAAACTCGCGTAAAACTGTGTCAAAACGTGCAACTGCACTGACGCTTTGATGCTGCATCAGGAGTGGCAACAAATCTACTGACCAGCACTTACAAGGGCCCAATCATAATGGCACAGCACCACAGTGCCACACGGCTGCGTCCCCATGCACCAGCTGCAGCACGCTTGCTGGGTTTGGCAGGCGCAAGGGCACCTCATGACTGCGCAAAGCTGTGGCACCCGCACAGGAAAGGGCCGGTGGAAATGACATGGCTGCCCCCGCGTCTGGGGCATTTCTCATGCCCCTGCTGGTCACACGCATGTTGTGCAAATCCGCGATGCACACATTATGGATCCTATAGTTCTGTACTGAGGAGTAATAGAAATCGTGTTTCACCGCTCTTCTGGCGCAGTTGTAGAGTCTGCCTCAAAGAGGCCGCACCAGGCCGCTTTCCTACCGTCTGCATCATTTTATTCCACCATGTTATGTCATGGGTTCCATCACGTTTCATCCTCCACCGCCCGCAATTGTGCATCTTGAAAAAACGCCACACGCTATCCCCCTGAAAGATTGTGTTCCTTGACAAACCAATTCCATCAAATAAGGCATTCACAAGTTTTCTGTCCCCGCTTGGACCCATCGTTCAGCTACAGTTCTGGAAAGCCCCTCACCTCGGTCTGGGCATTATTCTCACCCATCTCGATGTTACCCACCACCATCGCGATGTTGCCGTCCTGTGTCCTTAAAACTTGCACGCCCCCAAGTGCTCCCTAAGGTCCCAGAATCGCATTTGTGCTTGCGTCCCCGGCAGTCACTCGAATTCACAGCCCCACACCTCACCCAAAACCCGCTGACAGACTCCTACCCCTACACATCACCTCCCCGCAGCCACACATCCTGACAGCGGACCACTCCCTGGCTCTTTTCAGCCAGAGGGCACTGTCTTCCCCCAGCATCTGTTTCTTGAAATGCGTTCACGCCAGTCCGTCTCAGAACCATAAATCCGTGTGCCCCCACTGCCTCACTGCAGACCCCGTGTCTTGATAGCAACAGCAGTGGCCAGACTCGGGCGTTTGGGACAGGTATTGAGCTGTCCCCGCAAGGCCCTCTTCCAGGCGCTGCCGCCACCAGGTCTCCGGATCGAAAAAGATCCTAGTGCATCGAAATGCACAAAAGAATGCACAAACAATAAGCGATCCCCAAATGCGCAGGCCACCCGATGTGTTCTAGTGCAGGTTAACAAAAACGTTTTCCAGGGCCAAAACCGACACCAATGAAATCATCAGCCAACCAGCTCCATGTGTTCCACATCCGGAAGCCAACCTCAGTTTGAAGGCCTCCACCCCTCCGCTTTCATGCATTCCATGGCCAACCACTCGAAAAGGTTCAAGAGTGTTCACATTCAGCCACTCGCTCGGCACCTAGCTACCAGCGTGCCAGCGTTGGCCGCTTTGTAAGGAATAGGATGCCTAAATGTAGCCGGAAACCACCGGACTTGTAAATTTGTCAATAAAATAACAGATCTGCTAAGATACCCCGAGCACCAAGCACGGTGCCCAAACTTATCCCACACAACTGCTACGCCCTGACGGGGTTTGCCATCCTCCAGCTCAACTGCGACCTAAACCTGAGCATACCTCACCCCAACTGCCCCAGACACTCCAGGGCTGGGGCCCAAAGCCTCCATCGCCGAGACCCACCAGCACCAGCCAGGATCCGATGCAAATCCAGGCTGTGCATGCAAAGCTCAACCATCATCCACCCTGACATCAGGCCCACCAGCAAGAGCTCAGGTCTTCTGCTTGCCAGTGCCATGCAGGTCCACGATCGTCACGGTGATATTGTCCTTGGACCCCCTGTCCAGCGCCGCCCTCATGAGGACCCTCGCGGCGACCCTCACGGCGACCTCTGGCGAGGCCTCCTGCTCCTGGGCCCGCTGGAAGCACCTCCCCGCCAGGTCGCAAGCCTCCTGATCGGTGAGTGCATCCCACAGGCCGTCACTCGCCAGCACCAGAAACTCGTCCTCCCGTTCACGTCCCAGGATGGTCACCTGTGCATGGCAGTGTGGAAAATTGTCAGGCACTGCAGTAGGGCAAGAAACCAAGAGCCAAGCACAGGCCAAGATGTGCTCATATCCACATCACCAACATCGCACCACCACAGTGTACTGTCACGTCCATTTACAGTGCATAGGTGCAGCAGCGTAGTGCTGCACCGTACATTTCACATTGAAGAATCTGCTGCCAACCCCGTATTGTCACGAGACAAACCGTGACTCCTGTGGGCATGGCCAGCAGTCCATGGACTGCGCCTGATACGCTGATGCTGACAGTTGGTAGTCACCAGTAGCAGCTGCTAAACTTGCAAGCTGGAGGTGCCACTAACTGTCAGCACGATAAGTGCGGCTTGGAAGCCACACATTGCAGTGCCTCTTGTGAGGCCCCATGCTCTTCAGTTGCTGCCTTGCTTCTGTATTTCGATGCAGGTATCCAGCTGACCAACTTGACAACCTAATGCTAAGGGATTAGTCATCCAATGGTGTCTCACCTCCGGTTCAGCCACAACGCCAGCATCCCTCAGGCCGTGGTCGCCAAGGGCCCGTGACATGGCCAGCAGACCCATCACCCTCAGGCCATTGTAGTTCATGAGTTTTCCACCACAGCCCAATATCCTTTCCTGCAAACCAGAGACAGAAAACAATATCACCAACATGGCAACAACCTCTTGACAGTTGTGCATCTCGCCTCAACCAGAAGGTCTTGCTTGCGGTGCAAACTTTGGATCCAACACACCATGCTCTTACGGTTGGTCAAAGGCCACTTGTGAAGCTGCCTTTGCTGGCCACATAACTGGCTACACAGTGCAAGGAAAACTTGCCAGCATGTGAAGAAGCACTGGGTATCGCTTCGGGTTTGCTGGTTGCCAAGTGTCCCAATTACAACAACCCACAATCCCCTCCCACAACCCAACCCCCACACCTACAATCCAACAGATAACAGAGCTGCACACTGCAGCATTAATGCTGACGAAAGAGACTGGCAGCTGGGCGCGCAACGGGCCACACACAGCAGGGAAAAGCAGACCATGCAGGAACACACTACTAAAGGATGCACTTGTTGCAGAGCGGAACAACGCCATTAACCGGTTGTGGCACCTGGGGTGCCAGAAGTAGTGCAAATTTTCGGAACGGAGTAACGGTTGATTGGCAATCACGCAACAACACAACCTCGGTAGTCAAATGTGGTCTTAGCCTTTGGAACCGAATTACAATCGACTGGCAGTCACCCAGCAGCACACCCTCGGCCGTCGAGAAGCGCACCCAAAACAGAAAATCACCACCGCTCAGCGCGATCGCGCCCAGAATCAGCGCCCCAACCCAGCACACAACCGGTGCGACCAGTGATGCAGCAACACGCCGCAAAAATACCGTCTACGGCGTTGCGCCCACTCCTTAAAACGATTCTCCTCTCTGAAATCAGACGTGGGCGATCCTCACCTGCTCGTCCTCCAGGGTCGGCTTGTGGTCCCTCGTCAGCCTGTAGGCACTCCCGCCCCTCGACAGCACCGCCCTCGAATCCCCACAGTTCGCCACGACCACGTGCGACTCGCTCACCAGGCTCACCACCGCCGTCGTGCCCATGCTCTCCGCCACACCCTCGTCCATCAGCTGCCCGTCCATCAGCCGGAAGGCCAATTTCGCCGCACCTGCAACATCGGCCAGCCCCAGGCCGGGATGGTCCGCGTTGCACGCCCCGACGGGCGCCACCCATCTGAATCGCGAGCCCTGAGCGACCGGAACGGCGTCCACGGCCTTGACGGCCGGAGTTGATGCGTCCAGGGCGCGATCGAATGCCCGCCTGAAGTGCAGGTGGAGGTTGCCGGCCACCTGGCGGGACACCGCCTGCCCACCGTGGCCATCATAGACGCCCGCGAAGTGGAACCGCGCATCCACGCGCCTCGGATCATCGGACGCGCAGTCCGCATCCCCGTCCAGGCTCTCCTGCCACGACTCGATCGACTCAGAGGGCAGGCCGTTGAGCGGCGACCTCGGCGAGCTGGCCGCATCGTCCCACAGGCTCGGCAGATTTCCCTCCACGCCAGGCGGCACCACCCTGTCGCCGCGCCGGAAGAGCAGCGGCGCCTCCAGCAGGCCCTCGATCACGGTGCCGGCGTCCTCCATCGCCGGCCGCCACCCCTGGCTGCTCATCGACCCCATCGCCGGCGCGGCAGCCAGCCAACCGCACCCCCCCCCGGCCATGATCTCCCTCGACAGGCCGCCGGACCGCTTGAATGGGATCTCCCTGCCCCCGACGATGCAGCCGCCTCGCGTCGGAAATTCCACCCCGTCGTCCGCGTCGGAGCCCGGCGGGCGCGTGGGCCACAGATCTTCACTCAGCCCCACATCGGCCGCCGTGTCACTGACGCCTGGGCGCGCAGCGGGCACTAGAAGTTTCAGAGCCCAACCCCCGACAACCCCAAACCCCCCCGCCCACCACGCAAATGCCAGACCGCGCCATCCAACAGCCTCCCCCCTCCGGAGCGAGCACTCGCACTGGACCCACGTCCACACCGCGAAGGACTTTTCCGGCAGCCTCACAACGCGCCGCTCTTCCATCCATTTCTCCAGCCGTGTCCGCGTCGGGATACCGCGTCACCCCGCGCCCACCCGCGCTCGCAATCGCGCCCTCTGAAGTCCCTCATCGTCACTCAGGCCACCTAATTCCCTCCACTTGCGCCCCTCCCCCCCCCCCAAGCACACCCGCCCACCCACCCCTTCAAGTCGCGCGATCAAGCTCCACACCCCCAAAACCAGAAAGGAAAGAAAATAAAACCCGGAAGGCCAACTCACCGCGGTCCTCCCCCTCGTCCTGTCCTCCCTCCGCGGCCACGCATCTCTCGCCGCTCGTGGCCACCAGCATCATCAGCATCGCCCTGGCCGCGTCCGCCATGCCCCCCCGTCTCTGTTTTCTCGCCCCCTTATGCCGCTGAGCTACACACGGGCCCGGGACGCCCCTCTCTTTCCTCGTGCCGTTTGACGTGCTCCCTCCCAAAGATTTGCCAACAAGACTTCGCCTCACACTAGCGGCCAGGCGGCTCGCGGCGCTTAAGAGGCCGCCCGAACACACAGCCAGACGTCCCGGCGCCCGGGACATCTCAAAAATCTGGGGTGCCGTACGCATGACATGCGGACGCGTCACTGGCCCACAAAGGCAGCACATGACCCGCACAGCCAACAAACTGGCTCACCCGGCATTCTCGTGATTATCAAGCGTTGACTGCATCGGGCCGCCGCGTGCACGGGAGCCACGTGGGGACACGCGGGGAGTCAATGCTTCCAGAGGGCTGTGCTGTCGGTGTGTGGGCAGAGGGAGGTACCCGGAGACACACCGGCGATGCGATGTGGCAAGTCGGTTGATTGGACCACGCCGCAAGTTGAGCTCGGCACGTGGGCGCCCTGTGACCCCACCTTCGTTGCAGCGCCGCGCGGCGCTGCTCGTAATCGTGTACCGTCTTTGACAAATTCTGTGCCGTTCAGCGGTGCGCTTCGCCAAGCACGGAGCACGGGGTACATGGCCGTGTACACGGAGCAATTGGTGGTCGTCAGTTGTCACACGCATATCGGATACGGGCGGGAGATCCTGGGGGAGGCGCTGTTGGCGTCCACCGAGTGCTGTGGCGTTGTGAATGGAGGGACCTTTGGCCACAGCTGCGGGCCGCACATGCAAAGCAGCAAACTTAAACTGCAGCCAACAGGGCTGTTGGCGTCCACTGAGTGCTGTGGCGTTGTGGAAGACAGGAAGTTTGGCCAAAGCTGTGGGCCATACATCCGGAGCAGCAAACTCACACTCCTGACCGCAATGTCCCAGGCCAACAGGCTTGTTGGCATTCTCTGGGTGCTTTGGTGTTTGTGCAGGACGGGAAGCTTGGCCACGGCTGTGCACCGCACATGCGGAGCAGCAGAATTCAAAGTGTGGACCGCCTTGCTCTCAGGCTAACCGGCTCGTTTGCATCCACTGAATGCAGCGGTGTTGTGAACTGCGGGGCGTTTCCCTCCACTGTGGACCGTACATGCAATGCAGCAAACTCAAAGTGCGGACAGCCTTGTTCTCGTTCCAAGAGGCTTGTTGGCATCCACTGAGTGCTGTGGTGCTTCTGGAGGGTGCGACGTGCTGCCAACGCTGTGGACCGCACATTCAATGCAAAAAAAGCAATTACTGACTGCCAAGGTGTCATGCCAGCAGTCTTGGAACAGGGTAGGTAACAAGACAATTCGCACCGCTTTTGTAGTGGGCCGCAATTGCGCGATCGTGCCAACAGCAAAATGGGTTGTTCTCAACCAGGGCATCCTACAGAAATTGCCACTACACCACAACGAAATGAGATAGTGTGCATATCTCCACATGTTCTGCATGCGAGCCGCACTAAGTCGATTTTGCCTTGCTTTGTGTCAAATTGATGCTAGCGTCGGCCCCGCTTCGCGCCCCCCTCCCCCCCCCCGTGAACGAACCAGCGCGGGCGCTTGGAGCCTGTGCCCGACATCGCCAGTCTGCCGGTGAAGGGCTCTGGTTTGTCATATCAGAAATGCAACAAAATGAGGATTTGAATGCGAGCTGCAGGTCGTGCGGCCTACGGATATATTTGCTGACGTTGCAGCTGCCACAAAACAAATATATTTGTATGTTGCACGACTTAACACAAGAACGATTCTGCGCTGCTTTGAATCGCCCCATAATCTTGGCAAAACAATGCACTGTATGTCGAAATTTCCACCTTACAATGCATGGCTTGGAGGCCCATGTGCCACTCGTTAGTCAACATTCGCTCATCACAGGATACGCTTGTATTTGCAAGACCAGGTACTACTTATTAGCCTTTCATTTTGGTCAACGACAGTCGACTGTACTTGTAATTGTCAATCGTAGCTGACGACAGGCGACACCAAACCGACACCATTATGTCGTGATGGATTTGTGGGCTCATAGCTCACTTTGTCCGCAAGGAGCGGTCATCGACTCACCTAGCTCTATCTCAGAACTATGAAATCAAGCAGCATACTGCACACTGTATGATTTCATACTGGAGACTGCTTTGTATGGTGAATAGGATACTTCCCATTCAGTACATGCTATTCAGCATACTAAGCAGTCTACAGTACATCACACGAGTAAGAGGCCTTGACAGCGAGGAGCAAAGCGTCGAGTGTATCCCCCTGCCGTCCTCACTGAGGACTCCTCAGCAAAATTCTGAACCAGAGTGAGTCTAATATTCAAGTTTTTCAATTGGGGGTTTAACCCCCAAAGCCAGAAACACCCCCACCTCTCCAATTTATGTAAAAATCGTTTTCCGCGCCAATTGCCGCTTTCAAAGCACGAAGGAGAGGGCGAGAGGGGAAAGAGTGCGCCTCCCCTCCCGCAACGGCGGGCGCACAGCGCCTTCGGTCATAGAATTTGCCCCGCCAGGCGACGTCAGGTGCATTCCCCCCACCCCAACCTCCACCCCACCCCCAACCCCCCGGGGCGCGATAGCTTCGCACTGTTCCGCGCATCAATTAGCGGCGATCAACCATTCTAAAGAGCGCAGGAGCTGCCCGCCCACCGAAGAAAGCCCCCCCGCGTGGCGCCGCGGCGCAAGTCTACGGCCTTCAAAGACGGTTCGAGTTGCATTGGGGCAAGGTGAGGTTGAAGGTGAGGGCGAGGGCGAGATTTACAAATCTTGAAACAACTTGCAGGTCTTTGCGCCTTGCAACGAGTTCTATAGAGGGAAAGAAATGAGCCGTGCAAAGGGCACGCCCTCCTGAGGATGTGCGTGCTAGAATCGTTTCCGTGCTGTGAGAAGATGGTGTGCAGCGCAGACCTGTGCTTGGCAATGATGGGCTCATGGAAACTGCATGGCACACGTGCGTTCGTGGCTTCACGCCAATGGCACTGGTTGGTCGTGACTTTTGCGGCGATGGGCGGATAGGCAGCGATGTTAACACCGACGTTAGAGCGGGACGCGGGGCCCGGGGCGCGGCGCTGATCGGCTGATCACGATGGGCCGCATGACGAGGGGGAGGGTGGAAGATGAAAGGTGGGGGGCACATCCCTATTGCTGTAGGGGATAGGTCGGGTGATCGGCGATGCGATATGTCGAAATACCGACATCGGAACTCGAGCATTGGTCCAATATATAAACCAGTAGGAAATATATGTTGGAGAAAATTCCAGCGAATGCGTAGGATGTATGGCAGGAAATTCCAGCTGCTCCTACATAAAAGAGCAACGCTGGAATTCTGCGCGGGTAACGTGGTAGAAAGGGGGCTTGGCGCATTTTGGCGATGGATTTGTTACTCCAGGAAGGACGTCGGAAATTCAAGTACCCGGCGCTGATCGCTTTGGTGAGGGAAACGAGGCAATGACTTTTAACTGAGATGTTCTCGGAGGATGTCTATAATTAACTCAAGCAACAAAGGGCAGCTTCAAAATCGCCTCCGCATGTGCTAGAAATCATTTTTTTGCCGTAACAGTGTCTGAAAAAGGCGCGTAAACCAGGCATCGCCGCAGTCATCAATAAAATTTCTCCACTATTTCACGCTCAAGACAGTTCAATCCAGCATGTGCAGCCTCAAAGCAAAAGATAAATGTCCAAATGCAGCCTTGGAAAAATGCGATTCCTCGAGAGCGCCGAAAGCAACCCAAACCAAGTGTTGCATGCTGTCGTCCCATTGGAAAATTCAAATGGTCAAGCACCGGTACATGATCCTTTCAATTTTCCCATGCTCGGTCGAGCAGCTCTGCACTCATGCTCAGGCTGAACATCTCCGCACCCTTTTATGATATATCAAGATTGTATGAAAAATGCAGCTCCATCGGCCATGGCAAGGTGTGGATGAAGGAGGATACACACAAGGTTGCTGATTTCTGGAGTAGCAAATGATCTTATCGACGGGTCAGCGAGTCTAGATGGCGCATTTTTCTTGATAGGTTTTTGTGCTTGCTGCTAAAGACATCCAGGGATAGGCTAGGTCATGCCAAAGGGCACTTGATTTCCCAAAAATCCGCAAGAAACATAGCGTCCAAAGGCAAAGCGAAGCGAGAAGTTCATCGCCGTGATGGCGAAGTGGGCGGGGTGCGCCAGGGATATTGTGGCCGCCGCTTGCAGCTGGATCATCGGTGTATTGCTGGTCTACATTGCAGAAATGGCACCGCGGTGCATAGTTGGCAATAATTTTGCTAATTCCAGCAGGGCTGCTTTTTCCAATACTTATGAGTTCCTTGTTGATTAAATTCACCTTTGGAAATGGCGGCGCCCAGGCACCTTGGTGGCGACGTCGCGGAGCATCCTAACTGCACAGCGTTCCTACACTAATGTACCCCCCAACGGGACGAAGCATACACAAGGCCAAAGAACAGTTATCTTTGCCACCATAGATTGCAGCAGTGATATTATTAGCGCTATTGCTAGTGCTAGAAGTACTGGCATTTGGTGCGAGCGCGGAAACTTGCAACTGACTTGCCCAAAGCGTTGCGCATGTCTTCAAAGGGATTCGCCAAACTGCTCCAACCTTCTTCTATACCTTATTTTATTGTTGCGTGCTGCTCAACAGACTGCACATATGCTATTGAACACCAATAAAGGGATACCGCATGAGCCATGCATATGTGTTTGACTGTTTTGTCTGTTTTGACTGTTTGTCTGCCAGACGGCTCACACCCGGCGACCAAATTGGTGGCCAACTTGCCTATGTTGCTTCCACGAGTGGTGAAGGTACTTCGATGGATGGGGTATGCGGCATCAATCATGCCATACACGGCAACAGTACTTCCCCGTCTGTATGGATACGCATCCATGTGTTTGATCTATACCACTGAGTGTATTGTGTCCTGATAAAATACAATCGCTGTTGCCATTCTTCGGTATCATTGTGACTGTTGATTAATGTGTGATCCCTGTGAACCTGGTGTGGACACAGAGACGATAGAGACTCGGTCATTAAACAAAATGGCCAGGCAGCGAGAGTATACTGTCATTGTATAAAAAAGGTCCAGTTCTGTAACGGAAACCTGCTCTTGCCACGACGGGCGAGAGCAAGGGAGGTTCGGCGTGACCTCTCCGCTCCCGTTTGCGCGTTGCGAGGAACATCTGAAGCTTTGAAAAATTAACAGCCAGCAGGGTGCCCTGGCCAGCGGCCGATGGGCGCGGACTGCAGCCTCGTCGTCGGGGGCGCTGAGCCGGACGTGGAACTCGATGCATCCGTCGAAGATGCCTGCCAGGTGGGCGCCTTGGCGAATCCAAGCGAGGTGCGCCTTGGTTTGGTCCAGCATGCCTCCGAAAGAAGGCCGCGGCGTCGGGGGTTGAAAATCGCTGGGCCCAGTCCTTTGAGGCGACGTCGCTTCGATCGGAACCTTGAAGCCCGGTTGCACGAAGTCCCGGGCTGCTCGTCCGGTGTTGCCGTCCGGATTGCTTGCTGGGGCCCTCTTGCGTCACTTGCTCTTAACGTCATCCGTCCCAATTCCCCTCCCGTCCCAAAATTGTTTGCGCCATGCCTTTGCTGGGGCGTTGGGAAACGCACCGAGCAGAAATCCACCCGAATGAAAGCTACTCTTTCTGTTTTCCGTTTTTGCTTGTTGTGGTCGAAATACCGAAATGGGGTGGCCCACGCAATCAGGGCGCATGCAGGCACGGCGCCAGCCGCGGTGTGTGCTCCACAGCGTCTCTTTTACTGGCAAATAAGTCTCTGAGAGCTTTAACGGAGCAGAAACGAGGAGATGGATGGAGGGGAGCAAAGGGCACCTTCATCAGTGAAGCCTTTAGAATCTTTTCCGTTTTAGAAATGCTGATGCTTTCCATCCAAAGATCCTTGGACGAGAAAGATGGCGTTGTGTGCGCATTTACAGTTGAAAAGACATGGCGGGCACGATCCCTGAATTGGGTGTGGGAGTTTGGGTGGGAGGATTGTGAGACCTGCCAGGAACCTGAGATCAAGGGAAGGGCAGGTGTTGCGGTCAGTCTGCTATGGCAGGTGCCCGTATACTTCTGTGGAAACAGTGGGTGCATTGCATTTGGCAATTGCATTCAACCAAACCTGTCTTAACAGCGTCCTTGCACCTTCAAGGCAATGGCAGGCGAATTTCCATAAATAGGTTTGAGAATGCTTGTTCATGTCGCTCACTCACACACTTTCTCCACAGAATTGAAGGATCATGGATGGGATCACAGTTGTGCTCAGAAGTACACCTTGAATGTGCATGCCCAGTGCGGTCAACATTGAGAGACCTTCCAATGGCAAACCATTTGAGGTGCAGAGCAATTTTCCATTGAAAGGGCCAGCCAATCAACTATCTTTGAGTACATGCCTTTCACCACAGTCCCGTTCCACAGACGCCTGGGATGCTATCATTGTGGCTTCAAGATGATGGTCGTGCTGTTGCTTTGCTTTGTATTGTACTTGCTGTTGGGCTTGCTTGCAAGAGTGTTGATCGTAGCAAGCACCAATTTAATTCAAATGCCCTACAACACACTGTTTTGCTGACGTCGATATCGGCAATCTCAGGCATTGATCTGTTGGAAAATCAGGCTGCTGATTGTGGACAACGTCCATGGCTGGATGGAGGACTCCCAATCAACGACTGGGGCCACCTGCCATTTGAGTTTTTGGATGGACTGAGACAGGCTATGGAAAGAGACCCTGAAAATTGCGTTGCCGATGGCACGGTCAAAGCCATGCGACTCGTCAACAGGCACTGGCGGCGATGGGCCTCTGAGTCCATCTCCTTCTTGGGCCCCTGGGGAGATCTGCCTGTTCAGGAATTGGCACACAGCATCGCAACAAGTTTTACTTCGGTGCGAGAACTGAGCCTGGTGCATTATTCTGGATCGCTGAAAGGCCAGATGGCGCCATTGGGAGCCCTATCACAACTCACCCATCTGGATATGAGTACCCTTGTACTCACTGACAAGGACCTGCTGCATGTCGGTCGTTTGACAGGTTTGACCCAACTGGTTGTTACTGGCACACGATACATGAGCCACACAGAAGTCACGGGCGAGGGGTGGAGATACCTGGGGGAGTTGAACGCTTTGAGGCGACTGTCTGTGCCAAGAATTTGCGATCGGGGCCTGAGACACCTGGGCTGGCTGACAGGTCTGGAGTACTTGCACATTGGGGCCCTCTGTCCAGGTGTGAGCTTTAAGGGTTGGGAAAACCTCACCCGGCTCAGTCATCTTGACGTGTCGATGAACGAACGGAGAAGATGGGAAAAGGTTGTTGTGCCTATTACTGCAGATGCGATGCGAAGCTTGGGGAACATGATGGCACTTGAACACCTGTCTTTCAGCAGGTATGCGATAGATGATAGGGGGTTGAGGTGTTTGGGGAGGCAGGTGACTGCCCTGGTGTTGGATCAGTGTGATTTTGTGACAGATGCTGGATTGGAGCGCGTTGGAAATGTCACGGGCCTTCGGTCCTTGAGCCTGAGTGGGTGTCACCACGTCACGGATGTGGGCCTGGGGCATATTGGGAAATGTGTGAGCCTCTGCAGATTAGAATTGCGCAATCTTTTGAACTTCGACATAACTGACAGGGGCTTGGCTCAAGTGGAGAATTTGACTGCACTGACGTCTTTGACACTGGGTAGTTTTTACAGAGTCTCTTCCGAAGCACAATCTAAGCTTAGGTTGTCTCTCCCTTTGTTGTGAGCAAGGCTTTGGATGGGTTGGTTGCATTGTTGTTGTGACTGTGATATGACCCTGAAAAAGCGAATAGCTATGCAGATTCTGTGATTATGTTGCCTAAAAGTGACAAAATGACGCCTACAACTGCAAAACTGTGTCTAAGTCTGGCATGAATCTGGCGACAGTACGAACTACGCTCTCCATCAACTAAAAGGCCCAAACGCTTTAGTCCAAGAAATCCGAATTCGCCTGCCGTCAAGCAGCACATTGCCCACGCAGTGCTGCGCACATTGAATGGCTCAGTGTGGTTGTGATATAGTGTACCCACAGGCATGCCGACATCAGAATCGCACAACTTCTGGATCATTCACAGTGGCTTTGAACGTGTCAGAAATTGCCCGCAGGGAGACTGCATGGAAGGTACCAGCGCCCGACGATCATCAAATGAACATGGTGCTTAGCTGTTCGAAACGGCCATTTCTTTCCGGTGCAATCATTTTATCAGCCCTAGTCCATCTCGCCAGCTGTTGTTTGACCTGCAGCTTGACTCTCGCGTTGCGGAACCCGTTCCCTTTTGCCTGTGAACGTATTGCCTGTACGCTCAGCATCAACGGCATTTTCAGTGCTCGAATGCCACACAAACGTCAGCAGGAAGCGATAAGTTAAAATGCCACCACGCTCACGGGCAGTACTCACTGAGCAACTTGTGGCCGCGTGAGACAATCGATCGCACATTGTGGCGATTTTCTGAGTACCCCGCCGGAACCGCGTACTTTAGTAATTAGCCACATTATGATTACTGGATCATGGGTGAGTCTATAAGCGCTGGAGTGTTTTGGTAATTGATTGTGTAGATTATGAGACGTGTCCTACCTATGCGAAGACGCCGTTACAACTTTGATGACATGCGGCGCCCATGTAAAAGCGTGCTGGAAGTACTGATGATGCCAAGTGCCTTTGTGAGAACTAACCGGGAGCCCTAATGACAGAAGGTGACTCGTTATGAGGATATGTTGAGGACCTTGTGTGGTGACACCCCACACGGCCGCTGACGGATGCCGGGAGGACGAGCTGGAGCATTGAAGAAACGGCAGATGAATAGAAGACCTCCCAATCCTTGGAGGTGAAGACGGGGACTTCGGAGATGTACCGCTCAGCTGGAAATACCCCAGGACAACGGCTGGACACGCCCGACTTACCATGGGAGCGTCAGAGGCGAGTTCTGGCGTACTTAAGAGGCCGAAGCCTGGCGGATGTCGCACCCACTGGAAGTATAGTACTTTGTGAGGACGAACTTAGGCGGGTAAGGCACCCTGGGTAATTCGGGCCAGCACTTAGCATGGGGCGTGGGTGTTGTAGGACTGGGTAACGCACCCCCCGGCTTGGAAGTGGGTAAGGAACCCTGGGTAACTCGGGTCAGTACTTTAGTGGGCGATAACTATGTTGTGGGACTTGGGTAACGCACCCGGCGGCTTAGGCAGGGTAAGGCACCCTGGGTAATGCAGGTTAGTACATAGGCCGGAGCGGCCAGTGTGTTAAGGCATGGGTAGCACACCCAAGGGGGAGGTACAGTGGTACCTTGTACGAATTTGACGGTACCTTTCACAGAACCCTAGTAACGGTGCCGCGCCTGTGGCTTGGGTATTTAAGGACACACGGCTTTGCTTGTAACGAACAACTGCGAACCTTGGGTCCACCTCGCTGTTGTGTGAGTGACTTACGGGGATTGTGTCCCGTCGATCTGTGCACACGCCGCACTGACAGACGCCCATTGTGGGTGCACCTCGCCATCGAGTTCAGCTCGATCGGGCGAGCGTCCATTTTTGTGCGTGACCGGTCCGTTGCCGGAAGATTCGCCATCTGGACGCCATTTCCGCGGTGGTTCGTGGCTCGACGCGACACGCATCGTTGGCTGGGAACATTCGTCCCAACAGCTTTTCAATCTAGACAATGATTCTTCAATCTAATTAACTAATTAAATTAAAATCCAATTTAACGTCCCATGCGGGACGCTACGAGCCTAGCCCCCCAGAAGATTCGATGCCCACACGTTGCGCCGTGCATGAATTGGCAACTCCGCAAGTTGGGCACTTATCATGCCGCTCAACTTCATCTGAGCATCCGAATCCTGGGCAAAGCGCTCATTGGCAATCCCCCAGCCCGCCAGAATTTTTCATCACAACCAAAGCCCACCACCCGCTAAACAGAATTCAAATTTCCCGAATCAGCCAGATCCCAGACAATAAATCAATGCCGGCAATCCTGGCGCCTACATTTCTCTATCGCACTTCGAACTAAGCTCATCGTTCTAAACAGCTGCATTCAAATGTCCGCCCCCGACACGTTCAACACGCCTTAGGGAAGGGAAGGCTCCCCCCGAGGCGAGCAAATCCATCACTGCACTACACAAGCACACCAACACAGTGGCAGCCGCGCCCCATCAGGTTATGACGAGCTGTCGCCCACATCCAGCCGCATTCCAAGACATTATTCCCGCCCACCCCGTGGAGGCGGTCCTGGACGACTGCACGGTGCGGCCACGGCCATCATATCGCGATCTATGAAGTGCCTGCTCTCGAGTGCACCAATCAATGAATCGTCGCCAAAAAGCCAGCTCCCAATAAATGTGTCGCCCTCATCCCTTCAGCATTAATGGACCCTGTTAGCTCGCAAAACCATACGGGTCCACGCTTGGCTGTCATTTTTATTCTGTCCAATCTTCCGCAAATGCTATGAATTAAATTCGTCGACCCAAGTGCGCAGTTCCTGATGCTTCCACCTCTCCGCCTGTCACTGCATGGCAAGAACCTGACGATTGTATGGAGGCGCGTTAGTGTAATGCATAGATTTTTGCATTTCACAGCTATCATGCCGTGCTGCATCATACAAAAGTAAAGCACGCAGACATACGTGTGCGCATCAGCCAACACACAGACACGCAAAAAGCCTTCGCAACGCACATACACAAAAAGCATTGCACAAGCGTGTGCAGCCCATTTTGCTTCTCTGAGCATGAAGTGCACAGTCCAAGACTAGTTTGCGAAATTCCGCATTGTTCGCCAAACAAGGCGAATGGAAGAAGGCAACCTTTGCGAGACGGGCACATACAGCCAAGACAGCCGCCTCACAGTTGAGCTGTGAATCCACTGTGCATCATGTCTCATTTGTTTTTATTAAGAATTCAAACAACCGCACGAAACACTGCAAGCTGGTGAGCTCGCAGCGCTTTTAGTCAGACCTTTGTTCGTGGGTCATTCCTGTGGGCGCACAGGTTGCGCAAGCCATAGGAATCTATTTTTCGTTCATTGCAACTCATTTGCCGAATCTGCATCACTGCCTTTTACAAATCCATATCACTACAGAGTTTCACATTACCTTTCATGGCACTTGCTCCTTGAGCCAGTCGCAGATGTCAGCGATGTTGGTGCACCTGACTGCAGTGCCGCTCTCAGTGGACACGTTGGCCCAAGAGCACACCTCTGTGATAGCATCCAGCCTGGGCCACCCTGTCTCAACGCTGCCCATGGGGTGCTGGCCGACACGTGGCGGCACGTCCGGAGCGATGATGGGCGAGCCTGTGCACAGGGAAGAATGAGCATGCTTGATCCATATGGCAGAGGTGCGCATATTGAATGAATGGAATAGCTGCCTGCGAAGCAAGTTCGTCCCCTGGCATCCTTTCCACTCATTGTGGTGCTATGCAGTGGGCACTGTTTTGGCCATCCAACAGTTGGACATCACAGGCTCGTCACCTCACACAGAATTGAGTACATTAGGTACCTATAAACATGGCATTCTAGCTTATGAGATAGCAGAACATCGACGTTCCACAGTGCACGTCGACTTTGAATGAAACAGCAGACAGTGAAGCCATTAGTAAAACGCTGAGCTGGTGGTAATTCATCCCACAACATGCTGCATGTGACTGCCAAGCACCCAGCTACTGTGAAACAACAACGATGCCAGGGGAACCATCGTCAAGATGTGCAAACTGTTCAAATGGACAAGTTCTGCAACCCCACGATGCAGTATGGGGTGTACGACATTACATTGACAACATTGTACAACGTTAAATAAATTTGTTTTTTTGACTTAAGTTACGATCATGTGGTGCACCGTGCTGGCAATTGCACACAACAGTGCGTGCAACCTCGCACTCATTTCCAACCATATGTAAGTGTTCCTCTGTTTCTTTCATTCTACATTCAGAAGAACTCCAAAAGTACCAAAGATACACACACAAAGGGAAAATAGCAGTTCCTAGAGTCCTATGTGTCCAGCTGCAGTGCTTTGTCAAACGGCAGCAAAGGCACATTGAGTATCCTATCCATGCCAATGTCAACTACAATTCTTGGCAATAAGTCGCAGGCCAATTGTATTCCCCCAAACACATGACAGCCACAGTGCAATAAGCAATGAATATGCACAGTTTTACTCAACAACATTCTGTATCATGTTTACATCTTGTTCAGCTGTTGAAAAAGGTGCATTGAGCATGGCTAATGCTGCTCTTTCACAATTTCCAATGGCATAAACTGTGCTCAAATGGGACCAATGGCATCCTTTTAAGCTTGACCCTGGCACACAACTTATCACCGCTGTGGCACACCTGGGGTTGCGCTTTTCCCTCCCGGATGCATAAAAAAAGACATGCCGCCAGCACTGCTGCAGAAATCACCGTCTGTCACAGTGAGAAGTGGCGAAGTCTCGACCGCCGTCGCCGTGGGGGAGAGCCCAACAAGCATAGGCTGGTCATCGTTCTTGGATGTGTCACAAGCAAGCACCGGCAGCTCGATGTTGATCTCTTCTGGCAGAGTCAGCACCGCAACGTCAAATCCAGCATCAATGCTCCCCCTCCATCTGGGGTGTGTTGCGATGTCTGCAACTTTCAGTCCCTGCCAGGGCAAATGGCACAGTCAGAACAAATTAGTAGGTGTTGTGTGGTGCCATTCATTTTTGCCAGAAACTGGCAAAAATCTGCTAAGCAATGTGTGCACCTACACTGAAACTGTAGTGGCAATTGACTGGCATGCATCCTGTGGAATGTAACACGTCAGTTCATATCTGGTCGTCTTGGTAATATGCAATTCCCCAAAGGGGACTAGCCTCAACAAGGTCATGAATAGCTGACACATTTAGCTGCCGCACATGCTATGGATACATGTTTGAAAATAGGGAAAATGACAAAAGGGGGTCCTCTGTGAGACATCTTGACAAAAGGGGGTCCTCTGTGACAAAAGGGGTTCCTCTGCGGGGGTGCATTTGACAAAAGGGGTCCCTCTGACAACTCCCTGTACATTAGACGCATTGCTAGACCGGCACCAGACCGGCACCAGACCGGCGCCAGACCGACGCCATGCCGGCACCAGTATGGCGCCAGACTGGACCACGGTCCTACTGGGGGCTACCCCTCTGCGAGGGCGCAAGGAGCACACAACGGTCGGAGCTGCGGGAGTCGTAGAGATCGGAGCTGCGGGGGAGACCAAGTGGCGATCGGGGCTGCGGGGAGAGCAAGTGTCGACCCAGAGGGGCCAGTCTGGTGCCAGTCTGGCAACACGCCTAATGTATAGGGGCCGGTCATAGAAACCCCTTTTGTCAAGATATCTCACAGAGGACCCCCTTTTGTCATCTTCCCTTGCAAATATGTACCTGTCTCATCGCTTTGGAATGACATGAACTCATCAGACACCACTATTTCCAAGGATACCCTTCAACATCTTCAACCACAGTTCTCCATAATCTTCTATCTACCTTTGAGATAGTTCTCCACTGGGGGAAGCTGCCACCCAATTCAAGGAATAGATTACAGGTCAAGATAAGCACTATGAAAAATGTCCCAGCAAGGACGGGAGATTGAAGGTATGCTGTTTAGCAGTGGTCCTCCCTGTAATCTGACACATAACCACCACCACATTTACTTTTATTTGTGCCCGCATATGGTCTCTTGGGATGAGGGCTGTGCAAAGACATTTAAAATGACATATTACAAATGGAAGGAAGAAATGCGCATGCGCGCATGCATGCATGCACGCGCGCACGCACGCACACACACACACACACACAGCTACAGTCGTTCCCATTAATTCTTTTGAAAGTTCTGCACCCCCCCAAGGGGCCCCACCTGCCCATCAGAAATTGCTCTATTGCCACTGCCTTCGCCCTCCATGATGAGGTGAACCACAGGCGTGGATCCCACAGCTTGAAGGCAACTGGCCGTTGTCACCACAGACCGGTTTTCAAAGAAACTTCCGGCACAATCCCCTGACCCATTTGTGTTGGTAATGGTGGCAACGTATGGGAAACGCCGCTTTGGCCTCTCTGCCCATTTGCTGTCCCTGTCATCGGACACTGCACTGAGGAACTGCCCTTCACCTGGATCGAGAAAGAAACACAAGATTTTCATATTCTCAAATCTTTGTCAATGACATGTGGGGTGATTCTCAATTGCCTGTCCAGCAAGTCATGAGCAATGCTAGTACTGCAGAGACATGTGCAGCACTGTCAAGCCCCAAACAGCGCTCAAAGTGTGCAAGGGCTGTGACATGTACCTGTGCAACAAATCAGATAGATGAATAATTTCACAGCATAATTGAAAGAGCAAGGGAGCAAGCTTCAGTTGAGCATGCTTGTGCGCTTTGCAATACAACATTCAATACCCAAGCCAAAGTTCACAGCCCTCAACAGGTTTGGCAAGGGAATGCTACTTTGGTGGACCTGGCAGGTTACTGTCCATGGGCAAGCACACTGGACATTGCTGATAGGTACCAGAGTCAATAAAAAGTAGGTACTTATGAGGTCCATCGCTCAAGACAGCTCCGAAGTGTTGGTCCCTTTGGACTGCAACACAGGGGGCATTCAGCACTCCTAATATTGGGCAATTGTGCTAGAGCGCTCTAGGTGTTGGCCATAACATCATGGAGAAACCAATGCTCTATGGACCTGGCAAGATTGGAATCTCAAGCCATAACACTCTGTCCATTGGCTTATGGAGCAATCCTTCTTCCCATCAACTAATTGGTCAGCCTCAGAAGGTCAACCATTCACTCTCGTTGCCTCACCTATGATGCCAGGCTGCTTGAGGCCTGTCAAGGGGGCAACCCCCGCACCATCAGTTGGGTGCGCCATGGTCGGTACAACAAAGGCAAAGATGATGAGGGGAATGCCAAGTTGGGATTTAAAAGCCATCTGTGCCCCCACTCGCTGCGCACGTGCCAGTCGTTCTGCCCTGGATCAGTGTGGCAGCAGTGTTCCAGAAGCTGCTGTTGAAGCCAACCTGACAAGACGCCAAAATACTGCCTGGTCAGCAAAAAGAAAGAGAAGGATGGCATCAAAAAGCGACGATCCGAGTGCACAAACCCAAAATGCCTTCTTAGCAGGAAGGCGTGCGTTGGACATAATTGACTTGGACAAACACTCGCCCAAAATCGCACATGCCCTCTTGTGCAAAAATTTGACTTCTATCCGCACAGTGGATTGATGTCCAGCCTCTGATTGGGTCCAGCAACGGGTAGCCCGCGCCGATTGGACTTCACCGTCCTCAATCACCAGCTGCTGGGCCAGTAACACTTCCACTCGCCGTCCACAATATGAAAAAGAGCCCCGCATGGGTCCCCTCCAGAACGGGGGATGCCCACTTGCCCATTTGCCGCGTTGTCCCTCCTCTTTACAAACATCATCACCCAATCGACTTGCCTGCGTGACAGCGGGCGCGCGGCATCCCTGGCCCGATCCGCTGCGGGGTGCGTTTCGAGGTCAGTCAGTCCATTGCGCCCTGCCGTCCTGGCCATTTTGGCCATCGACGCCGCGCAGCCTATCTGAGAGGCCCCCTTTCCAACGCCACCAGGCAGACTGCGCCACGGCCGACGCCCGGACACGCCCACTTGGGCATTGTTCCGCGGACTTGTCCAGTCGTATCGCATCGTTTGCGCGTTGGCTCCGACGTCTCGGATACTGCGCGTCGCGTGCTCGGGCCGCCACGAGCGATTTTCCGCAACGGCATGCTGGAAAGTACGGCTGTGGTGTCCCAGATCGGGACACGTATATGTTCAGGCCATTTGAGACCCGCTGCTCGTTCGTTCCATGGTCATTCTCTGGTTATCATCATCGCCCTCAAACCCGTAAGTTCGTCTTCTCTCCTTTCTCCTCTACTGGCCACCACCAAACTGCGTATTCCCCTGCGTGCACTCGCCTTACACAAACAAAACGGGCCCTGCGCAAGTTCCAGGAGGTGAACTCACAGCAGCTCCAAGCGAGGGCCTCCGAGAGACCCACTCCCCGTCGCGAACCCCGGGACAGCCCCCTTCCCGCCCCGCACAGACCACACCGGGCTTCAGGGGCTGAGCCCGAACCACGCTGCTCTCACGATCACAGCGGCTAACCTTTACATACGCGCATCTCGTGTGAGGACCGAACTGACGACTCCAACAAGAAATGCGCCGCTGATCAGCTTGTGCTCTGGGAGAAAAGGCCCAGCCTACGGCGACGCCGCCGAAAGGGGTTGGGAGGATGGCTGGCCGTCCGCAGCGTCGGTGGGATTATCGCAAGGGGGTATAGGGGGGTCGCCGGAGCCGTCGACAGTGTCGGCAGGGCCCTCAGTTCTCCCACCGACGCCACGGGCAACGGGGCGGCGACGGGGAATTCCGGCGACGTCAACCGAGGTTGGGACTCTGGAGGTGCCCTGGAGAGCGTCATAATAAACTCCCATGCAGCCATGCGCTCGCCTTTCACACGCTATTGAAGCATGCCAGCCCCTCGCATGCATCGCGGGCTGGGTGACGCTTGTTGGGTATCCCAAGACGCCCAAGCCGACAGAGTCCACGCTCAACAGCACCCCGTCCAATCCACCCAACACGGAAGGGCCGCAACCGCGGCGTAGCCAGCGCGTTAGTTCAAGACCTAGCGACCTCTGCACCGCCGCACATGGTCCTAGAAGCCGGAAAGCTGGCCCGCCATCCTATGTCCAAGTCCTCCGGCTCTCGCCGCTCTGCTGATGATCTGGGCTCGGGTAGCCTTACCGGGGCCCGCCGATCCACGCGTTTGTGAGACGCCCTGGGCGCAGCCGAGGCAGAGGGAAGCTCCGGGAGGTAGGTTGGGCCGGGGCTGGTGCCCTGGAGGCTGGTGCGCAGGAGTGACCGGCCGACTATCGCGCAGTTCAGCCATATGTTGGTGGGGCGGGTCGGTTTCTTCACCCTCTCTTCATACTTGCGAAGCCCTTGAAGTGCAGTACGATGTGGCGCTGGGTGCCGGTGTCTGTCACAGAGGGGCAGGCGGCGCGACAATGCATAAGTGAAACCTATCACTGACTGTACTTGTCCGAGGGTGTTTGTACGGGCGTGCAACCACCTCTGATTTGGACATGGGCGGCTGTTGCGCAGCCCCGATGGGACCGGGTGTCAGTCAACATGTTCGGCGGCCGGCTTGAGCTGGCGCCCGCCAATGGCTTGAGTCATTTGAGTGACCAGCAGAGCATCGGGAGCGGCGCACATTACATGCAATACCCTCACCCTATCTGCATCAACAGCAGTTGACGTGACACGCCCGTCCAAGTGTTCCAAATGAGTGGGAGGCCGCGCATCCATTTCGCGCATTGCACGTTCCCAAGTTCAATCGGCTGTGCGACGTGCGGCGTGGCCCAAAGTGCTCCAGCACTTGGCACGTTGCTACGTCTCAGCACCTGACGACCTCGGAAACTGACAAAGGTACTGAACAGCAACCCGCTGAGCGCATTCGGCTGTGGCATTTACGGCGACCAAAGCGCTCCAACATTTGGGCCCGCTGCCACAGCCCATCGCAGAGAGATATCCACTGGGAGTGCGTACAATCTTGGCAGGCTGCGGCTCCCGTCCAGCATTCCAGTCACAACATTACATGTCTATCCGCTTTCAAATGTTCAGTGGGCGCTCGAAACGCCGATGCCTCACCGCCCTGGGCAAGGACTTGGGTAAGTGTGTGACCTCTTCCCCCACACTAGGGAAAAAAGGACCAAATAACACGCGTTCAAACGTGTACAAAGTTTACGGGTTTGGGTTGTTGTTTTGTTCTTATTGTGCAGAACTTTGGTGAAATGTGTTTCAGGTGTGTTTGCAAAAGTGTTATTTGGTCCGTTTTTTGCTAGTGCCAGCTTCTGCTAGCTCGCGGGGCGCATGGGCGGCCCCAATCCCTGTCGACAGCGCCTGGACGTCACGAGATTGCCCTGCGTCAGGGAGGTGTGCTTCGCGTTGATATCGACGCCGTGCAGCACGAATGTCGCGCCATGGGGTCATATCATGGTTCAGACAATCGAATCCGCCAGCGCCAAGAAAAGTTGGCCTCAATTCTCGCGGCAGGGCCCAGGTGTCATCGCCCAAGATTCATCCGCGGTGGCAGCCGGGTGCCCGGTGGTCATTCCCTGGCTTGGTTTTTACATTTACGTTTACGCTTTTACGTTGACGTTTTTATGCTTAGAAACGTAAATTTGCGAAAGGGGCTCTTTTACGTCTATTTTTACGTTTTTGCCGCTCGTTGTGTATAGTAGTCAGTCCTCAGCTATCTCCAGCACCCGCAACACAGTGGCCACCTCGCCCTCGGCAAGGGCAACGCTGGCATGGAACTAAAGTTCGTTTTCTACCCATTTCAGCGCGTCTGACTGCCACTCCCCGGACACCCCAAGTCTGTATGTACCGTCCTTATGTACACGAGGCGATACTTACGTTATATTTACGTATTTCACGTGGTTTCTACGTGTATAAACGTAAAAACTAGTTTTACATAACAAAATGTACAAACTATTTTTATGCGTAAGAACGTAAGCACCTTCACAGCTTTTACGGCGTAAGAACCGAGCCTGGCATTCCGACCTTCCGCCCCACATCGGACACGGGAACCGGTTTTGAATCCCAGGTTGCGCTTTTGCACTGGTCCGCGACAGGCCCAAGTCGGGGCTGGCGATGTCTGTTACCTTCTCCAGACGAGATCGCCCAACATCCAGAAGTGGCTCCTGCTCCCTGCTTGATGGAGGCAATGACGGGGACACGCCAACTCAGGGCAGAATGGCAACCCAGACCTCGATTTATGCCAGGGAAGCCTGACCCTGCTTTCCATACGATGTTTGAGCGACAGGGCGTCGGCCGTGTGGGCATCCTCCGCCAAAGGGAATACATTGATCTCACGTCAGAGCGCTGATGTGGGCGGCGTTGACAGACTGCACGTCAGGCCGTAGCCCACTCGATGTATCGGCGTGGCATCCGCCAAGGCGGTGCCAGAAACGCGGCAGCAGAGACGGACGCGGGAGAGTCGAATGCACGGTTGGTTGGAAGGTGGAGGTGGCGGGATGCTTGGAAGAGCAATAAATGTTCACGCGGGGTTTTAGGGGCATTCCGAGGAGGCCAGGGTGAGCCGTACCAGCACAGTACGTCGGCGCTGGCATCAGGAATTGGCGATGTTCTTGGGACGAGGCTGCAAACAGGAGCGCACCCGTCGCACGGCGCTGAGGCGGACACCGGTGACTCAACAGGTGTGCGGTGGATTTGCCGTGCAGCAGTTCGAAATTCCATTGATTGCATTTGTCACTAAGCAAATGACAAACCAGACCCTTGCACCTTATAGGCGATGACGGGCCACATGCAAACCAGAGTCATTGTTTGCAGTTGATGGGCTAGTGTGCAGCAGTTGATGGGCTGGCGGACATCGGACAGAGTAAGGGCGCGTTGGATGGCGGACGCGGTGTTTGCAGGTGAAGGGACGGGGTCTTGTGCCAGGTAACTGCTGGACTTCACCTACAGAGACGGCCAAATTTGCTCTCGTTTGCATGTGGGTACGCCCTTCCGTCGCGTACAACGGCTGGTTGATTGATTGGTAGGGTAACCGCAGCGCGGGCGACACGACAGCAGGCGCTGTCAAAGGGACGAATTCAAATGAGCGTCAGGAGGCATCAAAGCTGCGGCAACGCGCTCCTGTTATGCCCGGCATCAAAATGCGGCAGCATCACCATGGACGGTAGCTGCATGCTGGCGCCACGATGACGGAATGGGCCACAAACAAAACTGTGAGCGGCTTGGTGCAAGTTTCGAGTGGTGCAGCGTGAGCGCCATGGGGCCGCGTCCGTGTCCACAACTTCCTGCACCACTTCACCCGCTCATAGCTTACAGGCAACACTTAAATGGATGCCGATGGAAGGGGTCAGTGACTTGTACAAAAGGTGATCGTGCAGACGCACTATCATTTTCAAGACACGTTGGCGTGTTTCCACCTAACGGCAAGAAGAGCGCCCCAGACACCCAGCTGCCACGTCATGGCGCTAGGGCTGGTCCCTGACGAGACCCGCATGGCTGGCAAGTACAGTGCCAATGCTGTCGTTTAGCCTGCAATGTATCGTCTGCGAACGGAAAGCGATCGATCGTGTGTACATAAAAATTGTGATCAACGAGGCCTTACACTGTACTCCTGCAATGCAGACAGCAGCAATTTTGCCTAGCTCTTGAGTCCAAATAGAGTCAGACCAGCTCCACTGAGCGTCCTGTGGCGCCCATGGCACCAGGGCGAACATAGCAAGGGGCAGCATCACAAATGTCCCTGGTTACACAAAACTGCACAGTGCGCGTTTTGCCATCGTTGGCTGTCTCTCAGGGTGGCATGAGGGGTATAGCCACCATCAATAAAGTCTACGACACCAGGGCGGAGGCAGTGGAAGACTCGTATTTCCAGTTTGGTGGCAGCTTCTTCACACGCTGGGTGGGCAGACACACACAATGTATCAGGCACACAAAACAGACACGGTGCCAAAAGAGTCGACGATAGGTCAAGAGTACTTCAAGAATGGTGGCTGGCATCGGCTTGAATGTGCTCCTGCACAGCTTCTCCCACAACCAGCCTATTCAAAATAGTAACGTCCGGCAGAAACAACGCCCGGAGATTTGCCACTGAGGTACAGATAGGATCGCTGTAGGCACGCATTGTGGGTTGCTGTTACCCAATGGGAAGAACTCAACTGATGTGGTTGAATGATTGCTTTCCTGTGCTGGATGTGCAGCCAGTACTTAGCCCAATACTGCATTGTCTAGATTAGGAATGCACTGTATATTGCTTCTGAGCTGCCTTGGGTCAATGGTTTCTTTCCAGGGGAAGCACCGTAGCAGAGCAACATCCAGTACACAAGACTGAGGCTGGTGCTCACAACACAAATGCGGTACACTGCAAATGCACAAAAGTGGCCACATTCCATTGCATCTTATGAAGGCCAGCAACACACAACAGCCTTGCAGTGCAGGTGAATGTGAGCTCCATAAGACACTATGTCGATTTTGTTATGCTCAGCGTCAATTTAATGCAAAAGGGGTGAGGGGGGACCTGCGACGCTAAGAGATTATGTAATTGTAACAAACTCGACGTAAGGTAGAAAGATGACTGAAAACGCTGCTGATCAGCAGGAAAGCACTCGTCACTTGTGCCTAAACTTCCCTGAAATGTTCAGTCTTCAAGGAAATCTTTAGAATGCGTCAGTTTGCAGCATCGAGGTTGCCCACCTTGCCTATAATGACGATTATAATCCCAGTTTCAGCCCACCCAAAATTTGTCCGACTCTGGGCGTTTTTCTTCTCCAAACCAGTTAGAAATTGTACTCCATTGTTGCTGGTAATGTTGCTGAGTCATCCTGGCTTCGAGATAAGGATTGGCGCTAAGGAGGGGTGGTCTGTGCTTAACGTCAAACTGACGCTAAGCGTAACAGAATCGACATAGCACCTTTCCTAAGTACTTCAGTGCTGTGTAATTTGCTGATCTTCTGGAGACAGCCCATTGGCATATTCCTGCTGAATCTGCCAACAAGATTGCTGACTGGTTCCAGAAGATCCCTCAGGACTGCCAAACATGCGAGGGCACAACACCTCTATCCATGGGTCGAACTTGGCTAACCGTGTTCTGGTGGAGCTGGGCAACCGACCCCAAACACCCCCATGGCACTTCAATGCCCAAAAGTGGCAACATTTTCCCCTGTTCTCTCCACAGACTTGAAATGCGCTGCACCACATCGCCTTAGCAATGCAAGCACCCCTTCCATTCCCAAAGGTTCCAGTGTGCTGTTGCTCTGCTTTGGCACTGCAAGAAGCCTTCTACCCAGTATTAATTTCTGCACACCATCGATGTCACTGTCCCCAGGAACATGTGCATCGATTTGTCGCCCTGGCAAGTGCCCTCAAACAGATTGCATGCTTACCTTGTAGTAGCGTGCCAGCCTGTGGATCCTGCTCTCCACTAGAATGAGCCTGAACTTGCTGTCCTTGTCTTTCCTGTTGCGCTCGAGGTGCTTGCGCATGGACACAGCCTTCTTGATCATGTGGTACAGGTCCTCAGGGATCTCAGGGGCCAGGCCATTGGCCTTCAGGATGCGCAGGATCTGGCTCTTGGTCACGGCCCTCACCTGCACAGTTGCATCACAAATGTACGTGGTTGGCTATTTCCGCACTGCATGGTTGCAGCATATCTGCGTGAAGTATTGAGAGCAACATGCTTCAGTAGTGGAAGTGCAGTTTACAGCAAGCAATAATGCCGAACAGTAGCGTTTATGCCTGATATCATCAGCAAGGCGCAAGAGCCTATTTTGCTTAAAAACAGCAATGCACAGTTGCAAGGAATTAAGCAGAACAGATAGGGATGTGGGATAGCATGCTGCATCTGTTGCCTCAGTCAATGCAACAACATATCTCTGCCACTTCAGTGCTGGAGGCACCCTTCATGGTGCATCTGAGAGATGGGCAAGCAAAGCAGATGACTGGGCAAGCCCCACAGCTCTGGACAGGGATATAATCAACACCTCTTGCAGCAACTCGCCACCCATTTCCCCTGCTTGCCCCAATCTGGCCAGCAGGCTTCTTGCAGCAAGCATCCCTGTGCCCCAGAGGCGCTTTCTGCGTTACTCAAACCAGCGGGAAGTGGAGCCAAAGTCCATGGACTTTGGCACCAATTTCCCCTGGGCTTCAACAAAGCGCCGGGGAGGCGAGCAGGGATAAGTCGCCAATGATCGGCAACGGCATCTCATCCAGTGCAATCCAGGCCCGGCAGCATCCATCGACGTCCATCATGCAGCCATGGCGGCAAGGCCGCTCGCTCTGACCGCAATCCGGGAGCACACCCTAGGGCGCCGCCTTTCACGTGCATGTCCAAGCAGCAGACGCCCCGATCGGCCAAGGCGGCGCCCCCCTTTGATTGTTCGCCGTTTCCAGCATTCTTGGGCCCCTCTAACCGGGGCAGCGACAGAGCGGCGAAGCCTGAATGCTGCGCACGTGATACCCAAGGAGACAGTGGGTGGGGTGGGTGGAGGAAGGGCATCCAACCTGTGAGATTCCATGCTGGTCCCGAAGCAGCACGCCGATCTGAGACGGCGTCTGTCCCTTCCTGGCGGACTTGCAGCAGAGCTCCGTCACCTGCGCGGCACAGGGCCCCCTTCAGCAACGCGATGCGCCACCCTCACGAAAACAATAAGTGACAAAATATTGATCCTATCCCGCGACATCAAAACGCAAAAACAGCAGCGGGAATCGCAGCCACGGGGTGCCTCCCGGTCAGCAGCTGGTCAGGCGTCCGGTGCCAGGGGGCAAGAACAGACTCTCGCGGGTCGCTATTGGGCGCCCGCCAACACGCCTACCCATATATTCACTTGGAAAAGACACCAAAAATGCGGGGCTCAGGGTGGCGTTCAATGGCCCGCAAGTGGCGGCTCCGAGCAGGGGAATGGCGAGTGGCCCCGAGCAGCACCCCAATTTCAACATCCCAGTATCAATCGCGGCGCGGGGGGGAACTCCCATCACCTCCGCCGCTGTGATCTTCAGCCAGCTTGGTGGGGTGCGCTTGTAGGGCAGGGCGGATCGCGAGATCCCCTTCCCCTTGCTGTGCATGCGCCCCATGGCGGGCGAGACTCCCGGGGGTTCCCGGGGCTGATGGCTGCTCTAAAGCGGGCGGCGGCCTGTCAAGAGCCTGGCCTTTGCGCCGCTGGTGGCCGCCTATGCGCTCGGGGGGGCTCTCTTGCTTGTCGCCGCCACCCCCCCAAGGGTGGCGATTTTGGGATGGGGCAATTAAGGCGCGGGAATGAGGGCATTAGTTGACCGAAATCGCGCGTCACGGATGGTGTCACGGTGGGTTACGTTGAAGGAAGGGGGGGGGGGGGGGGGAGCTTCGCGCGAACGAATGCATTCAATCGGATTCTAGTCTCCCTCAATTTGTACTGGAATATCAACAATCGACAAGTAACAATCAGCAATACATTGGTTTACGTACTTATTGAGGAGGACAGCTGTAGTAAACTCGCTTCACATGCTGCTGCAGTTTACAGTACATACGACACATGTTCGGGATCATCCGAGGAAATGTGAGAAGAAAATGAACGTGAAATTGAGTGCAGGAGCACCCATAAAATGTGAGCACATGTGGTTGAACAGAACACATTTTGTTGTACATGCACATGCACAGGTATGCGCACATGGCTTCCCGGGCAATGTTTGTATATCACTCCTAAGCACGTGACGTACTTCCAGTTTATGCAGCTCGACCACATTGCCAACATCGAACGCACAGCCGCGGCCACACGTGAACACAAGCATCACAACGCAATGTTGTTTTCCAGGGATGCGCACATGCTTCTGCCACATCGGTTGTTATGACGTGTGGTGTACGTTTCTGGTCCTTCCGCAGCTTGTTGCCAGGGGCGCGTGGCGGGTTCCCGCCGAAAGAAATAATATTACTTACTGCCTGCACAAAAT